AAAGAAAAAACTATATTTTACTTGGTTGACTAGAATTATGAGTGAAGATGACTTATTCAAGGTCATCAGACTATCACACACCAAGCAGTATGTAAAAATGTCATTATCACAAATGTCGTAAAATATACCTGAAAATAGTTTCAAAATACGCTATTCACATTTATTGTATTGCCTTGATCAAACTGAATTTGTTTTAAAAGGGTTAATTAACCTTGCATCTTTTGAGGGACATCTCATCTCAGAGGCTAATGACCCAACATACCAGATGACATTATCCTTGGGTCAAACATGCTAAAAGCAGGCAACAGTTGAGTATTCAGAGTTATCTGCCTTTGAATGTTAAAATGACGATCAATATAAGATACTCTGTGATATATAGAAAAACATATATAGAAATAGTGAGTAAAATTCCTAGTTTGAAGTATTTTTAAAGGAATTATGTGTATTTCTAAATACTATTTACATATAATCAACACTCAAATCAATGACCCCCAGAATACTGCACCTATCCCTTTAATTTCATCTTTGATTCATAGATTTATTGACTTCCATACAGATACTCATATATATCTTGTGAAGTCAAATAACAGAATAGACATCAATCCTATAAATTCCTGACAGAAGAAATTCCATGTATCTTATCAATCTTAATCAGTTCCTAGTCCTCATCAGTCAAATAACATAATCAACATAACCCTTCCATGTATCACTTACTCATATTCTTACCAACAAGTCTATGTTTTGACATTTTGTCAATAAAGCCTGAGCAATACCATAAAGTCATAAATCTTTAATTAAACATATCAGGGCTGTTGATTTGGCTGTATTTTCTGGTCATGATCAGCAGACCAACTCAAATATCCGTTTTTGGCAATGGAAATGAAAATATTTTTAAAGTCAAGGGAGGTTAAATTGACAGATTTGCTATTTTCAGTCTTGAATATATGTAATTAATCTTCAAAAGTAATGGAAATGTATGAAAATCCCATAATTCTTTCAAAAATACCTCTGTCTGAAGCCAGGAAAGCTGTCTATCTGTGCTTATATAAGTCTTGTCTTTGTGTAAAGCCAGGGAAGCTGTCTATCTGTGCTTAAATAAGTCTTGTCTCTGTCTGAAGCCAGGAAAGCTGTCTATCTGTGCTTATATAAGTCTTGTCTTTGTGTAAAGCCAGGGAAGCTGTCTATCTGTGCTTAAATAAGTCTTGTCTCTGTCTGAAGCCAGGGAAGCTGTCTATCTGTGCTTATATAAGTCTTGTCTTTGTGTAAAGCCAGGGAAGCTGTCTATCTGTGCTTATATAAGTCTTGCATCTGTCTGAAGCCAGGAAAGCTGTCTATCTGTGCTTATATAAGTCTTGTCTTTGTGTAAAGCCAGGGAAGCTGTCTATCTGTGCGTATATAAGTCTTGCCTCTGTCTGAAGCCAGGAAAGCTGTCTATCTGTGCTTATATAAGTCTTGTCTTTGTGCAAAGCCAGGAAAGCTGTCTATCTGTGCTTAAATAAGTCTTGTCTTTGTTTGAAGCCAGGAAAGCTGTCTATCTGTGCTTAAATAAGTCTTGTCTTTGTTTGAAGCCAGGAAAGCTGTCTATCTGTGCTTAAATAAGTCTTGTCTTTGTTTGAAGCCAGGAAAGCTGTCTATCTGTGCTTAAATAAGTCTTGCCTTTGTCTGAAGACAAGGAGGCTGTCTATGCTTAAATAAATCTTGTCTCTGTGTGAAGCCAGGAATGCTGTCTGAAAATCCAAAGATGAGCAAAACCAATTCAAATTTTCCTCTTAATAATAATAATAATAGTTCACGCTTTCGATCAATAAATTTCTGTGAATGAAGTAATACTCAAGAATCACTAAATAAGAAAGTTTTTAGAGTTTTTTTTGAAGATGTAGATAGTTTTATAAAATCGCTGTTCTGATGGTAAACTGTTCCATTGTGCAGAGTAAGAGAGAGCTCATTTGGTGATTTCGAGGTTAACTGATGGCACACTTAATAAACACTGACTTAAGGTTCTTGTTAGATTTGAAAATTCGATCAGTTGTTGAATGTATGTTTGAGATTTTTTGTTTATGGCTGTAAGTTTGTAAAAGTATTTTAAATTCAATTCGATTTTGGATGGTAACCAATGGAGAGAATTCAAGATTGGGGAGATATGTTCAAATTTCCTGGTGTTGGTTAAAAATCGAGCCGCTGAATTTTGGATATGTTGTAGTTTTTCTATTTGGTATTCTGGAAGTCGGTGAAAAAGGGCATTGTGATAGTCCAATGTAGTTGTGATGAAGGCATGGATTAGATTTTCTTTGACAGTTGAAGTTACACATTTCCCAATCTTTGATATTTGTAGAAGGTAGAAAGCGTGATTAAACCATGCAATTTAGATCTTGTGATGTCCTGCCATTGTGTTTTTAAGTCATTTTAAAATGCCAAGGTCTCAAAATTTTAGAAACAATTCCCACAGGTTTCAACTTACCTACGGTTCAGGGCATTCATGATTCTGAAAAACATCTAAGGATTTTGTTTTTAAAACAAGAGTCTGAAAATAGCTAACTTTCTGTCTGCTTGTTTCAGAAATAGCCACAGGTGAATTTGTTCCAACTCATGAATGAAAGGATGGTTCTAAAATAGTATAAGAATGATTTATTATTTATCTTATCATTTGTTTAAATTGTTGATAAAATTTCCTTATTTGCATTATTTTGGTATTATTTTCTCAAAATAAACCTGTCTTCAAATATAATATAACCTATTTTTTATTTTTTTTTATACATGCAGTCTTATTTTAGGACTAAGGTTTATCAAAGGATGTAGTGATGAAAAGCCACTTTCAGTTCTAATAAACACAATTTATAATTTATAACCCAAAAAATTATCCATATACATAGACTATATAACTATAAAGACCGTCATATAGAAGTGGGGAGAATATAAAACAAAAAACACAAGGGAATATACTTGGTGTAACACAATTTGGTTATAATTTTGCAATATTGCTAAATATTCACTAGTTGTAATATCTTCACAGCCTTGAAAAAAGCAGAAATCACAAGAAAATGTGTTGATTTTTCAAACGCAAATTGTACACACTCGCTCTTCAAATCTGAAAAAAAATACAATGTACCTAGTTTTTATATTGAAAGGAATGGACAATTGTCCATCAGAATGAGTTGGCTATCTATCTTGGGTTAATTGGTAAAGATTAGTCCACCTTTTTGATCACACAAAAATAAACGATTACCGGTATCTTATAAAAAGATCTCTGCTCACAAATATAAATTTGGTTTTTATCAACTGGACACCAATATTTCTTAAAGGGATTTTCTAAATTTGTAAGAATATCAGCGACAGTAATAGCATCAATTTGCACGTTTCAAGTTTTCAGTCAGACTTCTCTGGTTACTACAATTTGAATTAAACTATGCGTTTCATGACATCACTATCACAATGGTCCTTATATATAATATATCAATATTAGCTTTTATGATAGTGACATTATAAATTGCTTAGTTTTAGTGAAATTAAAGGAACCATAACATCTGACTGAAAATTGTACTGGTGCCAATCGCTTGATACACATAAAATTTTTAGAAAAACCTTGTCACAATCCCTTTAAATGTAATAAGCTTAAATTTTTTCAAATAGTCCTCAAGGCAGCTTTGATTACAAATTTTATATAGCATCTAGAAAGCAGCACGAATTTTCACATCTAAAACCAAATCAACGTAATCAATCATTTTATATCTTATCATTTCAGGTAGCTGAGATTAAATGAACAGAGCTAGTGACAGGATGTTGAAAAAGAAATTACGGTTAGTGGCATTTTCAAACATTTCAATTAAAATACAGTCCTCCAACTGTTTGCTGAAGTTGAAAGCATTCTATTTCAGCTGTCCATGTCACTTTTTACCTTTCTAATTTCAAGACTGAATTCTGTGATTTAAGTAATTCTACCACATTTTTACCAGCTAGGCCATGATGTTACTATGTAGATCTAAAAACAATAGATAACCTTTTCAAACACAACTTAAATTCAGAAGGATCCTGTCTACCAGCTGGTCATTGGCCAAACCTCTTAGAGCATTGATCTTTCCTGGCTCATCTTTAATAATCCGTATTATCCAAATAGAATAATGAGAGAAGATATCATAAGCTGACTTATTTAAGACTCTTACATGCCATCCAAAGTTAGAACCCACAACTACCATTTGTTTCCCCTAAGGAAGCATATGACAACATGTAAGGATTTCAATACTCTAACCAACTGCGCTATAGTCTTTCCTCAATGGTTCGTTAGCAGAATTGGATAGAAAATTTAAATTCTTTCATGTGGGTGTATATGGATTAAGAATTTAAATTTTTTCATGTGGGTGTATATGGATTAAAAATTTAAATTCTTTCATGTGGGTGTATATCGATTAAAAGTTTAATTCTTTCATGTGGGTGTATATGGATTAAGAATTTAAATTTTTTCATGTGGGTGTATATGGATTAAAGATTTAAATTCTTTCATGTGGGTGTATATGGGTTAAAAATTTAAATTCTTTCATGTGGGTGTATATGGATTAAAAATTTAAATTCTTTCATGTGGGTGTATATCGATTAAAAGTTTAATTCTTTCATGTGGGTGTATATGGATTAAGAATTTAAATTTTTTCATGTGGGTGTATATGGATTAAAAATTTAAATTCTTTCATGTGGGTGTATATGGGTTAAAAATTTAAATTCTTTCATGTGGGTGTATATCGATTAAAAGTTTAATTCTTTCATGTGAGTGTATATGGATCAAAAATTTAAATTCTTTCATGTGGGTGTATATCGATTAAAAGTTTAATTCTGTCATGTGGGTGTATATGGATTAAAAATTTAAATTCTTTCATGTGGGTGTATATGGATTAAAAATGTAAATTCTTTCATGTGGGTGTATATCGATTAAAAGTTTAATTCTTTCATGTGGGTGTATATGGATTAAAAATTTTAATTCGTTCGTAAATTCTTTCATGTGGGTGTATATGGATTAAGAATTTAAATTCTTGTATGTGGATGTATATGGATTAAGAATTTAAATTCTTGCATGTGGATGTATATGGATAAAATATTTTAATTCTTTCATGTTGGTGGATATGGATAAGAATTTAAATTCTTTCGTAAATTCTTTCATGTGGGTGTATATGGATTAAGAATTTAAATTCTTTCATGTGGGTGTATATGGATTAAGAATTTAAATTCTTTCATGTGGGTGTATATGGATTCCTCTGAAATATGTTATGACAAATTTCAACAAGGTAAAATTGATGCCTATTGATTTTGAAGATGATTAGATTATTTTTCAATTAACAAGACATCTTTAAGTAGCAATTTATCACCTGATGCTAAACAAACTTCAATAGTCTTATAGATTCTTCAGGAATTTATCATCACAGTAAACAAATTCCATTGATTTGGACAGATGATTAATCCTGTCCATAAGCTCACAAACTAGGGGTATTCTATTCACATAAAATAAAGAGAATACAGGAATGAAAATATTTGTTTCACTAGCTGTTTAAAGGGGCATTCCGCTTTTATTTAGGTCAAAAAAAAATTTTGCTTAAATTTGTGGAAACTATACATCAAAATCTCAAGAAATGTTTAAACTAAAGAAATACAGTCGTTAATTTTTAATGCCAAAAATATTTAAAAACTTTATGTAAGTTTACTTTAACTTTCAAACTTTGTTTTGCTTTTTGGAAGCTTTAAGAAATCTACTGTACAGATTTAAGTAAAATAAACGTCTAATTTGAGAGAAATATGTCTCCTAGGTATTCTAAAGGTTTCAACTAATGATATAAAGCCATTATAAAGCCACACACCTGACTATTTCATTATTGACAATCTCACATGCATTTAATACCAATCATATCATAATATACGCACATATATGTATTTATATGGATTGTCTTTCTCTTTCATATAAAAATATGTAAACAAATAAAAAGCTATCTGCAGAACAAACAAATCAGACATTTATTATAATAAAACCAGACATGAATAATTGTCTGATAAAAACAACTTGTTCACCTTTGATGTTTAAAGATCAATGATATAGGATTACTGATTAATGATTATTGATGTTGGATCAAGGTAAAAAATGATAAACTACTCTGATACCTTCAGGCACTCAGGTTTACCTGATAGCATTATTGATTGGGCTTGTCTTTATTTGGAAGGGTGCTGATGCGTTGACATTTTAAAATTCTTTTCCACAGCTTATAAATATATATTTTAAGAAATTTTGTTGTTATTGATAAAATCTACCAATGAACAAATTTTGTAGAATAATTTTTCCAAGTTTCATCGAAATTGTGGACTCTCTAGACTAAAGATTTAACGCATTCTAAAGAACAGGGCAATAATCTTAATATTTTTTCGATGTACTTTTCAATTGTGTTAACAAGAATGTGTGGGTAGACAATATCAATGGACATGACGACAATATACATAACGTATCAGAGTCTAAAAGCTAAGCCCTAATTAATGCTTTGAGAGATTTTAGTCAATAGGTGGAAAAATCTTTGCCTTATGCACATCATATATTTTACTTGTAACCTTTTTGAAATTAAGAACTTTCTGTTTTAATACAAGATAAATTTTTCAAAATATGCAATGTAAATCAGTGCACACTGCTACCTTAATCTGGTGCATAACATGATAGGCCCCGAAGTCAACACAATCAGTCGAAAGTCGTATTTTATTTACTAATCATGGTCCAGTTTTTTTCAACTTGTTGAAAATCCTTATGCAAGTAACAACCAAGCTTTTATCATGCATGGAATATCTAGTATTAGACTATTAGTGCCTTTTTGCATCATAAATTAAATGCATATCTAGTTAATATTATATAAAGTTCCTTAATTGAACAGTTAGCTGAATACATTTAAGTATGTTCTGTATAAAATATGTAATATATATGAAATAATATAATAACTGAATAGCACATTGATTTATCTGTATAGCAGTTGAAAAATCCAGTCACATTTTTTTCAACTAGTTGCAAAAGTCAGTCACAATCAACTGGAGTCAGTTACAAATGAAATTTGACTGAATTCCGAACCTATTACAGGACATTAATTTATTTCATGTAATTGTTGTGTAAGGTTTTATAAGAGATACTCTCTTATAGAAGCACTGGCCAAGTTCACAATTAGGGACTGTGGATTTCAGCATTGGAATACATCAATTTGTTAGGAAATTACCTACTTCTGGAGAGATTTACAAATAATTGTTTTAGGGAGTTAATGAAAGGGGATCTAATCTACTATGGAGAAGAACATTAATCAGATTTTTATTCCTTTTGTAAACAGTCACCAAACGTTTAGTATAGATATTAGGAATGTCCTGTAGTTCTTTATTAAAGGGTTTGACAATCACAGAGGCATTTTTAGTTGTAGAATTGTGGGTGGCAACGAAAGGTATAATTTGATTGTCATGCTGTATATTTAGGCTGTTAGGTACAACTGTTTGTAATTGGTCTATCCAGAAACGCTCGATAGTTATGATAAATAATAAAACTGTAGCCTGTAGAGTACAAATTTCAGATCAATCTTACAGCTTAAAGGGCACAATCAGTGTATCAATCTTTTTGAAAAATAAGATTTCATAAGGAATGACAGTTTAAATTTCTCTTGAAACCCACATCCATTCACTTTCTAATATTGATTGACATTTAAATCTTAACACTTCGCTTTTTATACATCAGACTTCCATACATCACCATTTCTTTTAGAAGATGTCAAATTCAATGGAGTCTAATAAAACATATTGCATGACTATCATTCTACAAGATTTCACATAAAAGGTTATAAATCAGATCACTTTTGGGAGTTTTCCATTAAACTATTGATTCTAAACAATCTGACTAAAAATACAGATCTAGAAACAATCTTTTTTTTTTCTTAGTTTTTCTTTCATCAATTTCTTCACCTATTTTATGATCTGAAGAAGTTTATTTTAAAATTGTGTTCAAATGATCCAATCATTAACCAAAGTCAATGCTTCAATGGATGTTGAATACTGTTCAAAACTTCTCAAGCTGAGCTTGTACCTAACTAAGTGTTTGATGAGTTGGACTGTTGAATGATTAGGAAGGTCCCAATAAAAATTTCATGGATTCGGATCTAATTATGACATTATTGTCTAGTACATCTGGTATTAATACAAGACTAGGCAATACGATAGCACATCCTTTTGTAATGTATCGACTCACATATGTATTGTTCCTGCACTAACAGATACATAATCTGAAATACATCTTTTGAAATGAAATGGAGTTTTACATCCTACTTTTCTGCACCATGTGGGCAAATGAAGACGGGCAACGCCATGCAGGGTGCAATGAGGGAAATTTTGCCAGGACAGCGGCATTATCCTGCTCTTTTTCAATTTCCATCTGTCGCAGGATCTTTAACATGCACAGCCTGTAGCACACGGGGCATTGGTTATTGTTCCATCCGAACAACTGGAAGCTTTTTCCATGTCAGAAATTTATCTGTTGAATCTCTTAGTATAAAAAGTATCGAATACAACATTATGTTATGAAATCTAAATTTATCTTTTCAGATTTATGACGGAATGAACATAGGTGGACTAACCAATGTCCATTCAACAATTCCAGAGAATGCTTCGGTTAGTGATGTCATGTACAACTATCCTGTTACAGTAGAAAATCAACCTAGCCGTCCAAATGGCAATGTGCTTCAACCTCGCATTTCCCGCATACCAAATTCAGCACATCAGAAATTAGATGTGTGGAAATTCCCCAATTCAGAAATCAAGCAACCTACACGAGAAGAATTTTATCAATCTTATGATCCTAAGATAGGATTACATACAGCTGCTGTATTAGGTGGTATACTGGTGTGGCTCATCATTTATCTTGTATATAGGACTAAATGCAAAAAGGTGATCATACGATTCTTCAAAGGGCTTTCAGAACGGCGCAAGGAAAAGAAACGGGCTTCATTTCATATGCAGAATAAACAATCTACTGTAAGAATGGGTGCGGATACTCCAAGTATCATAATGACCTCAGATAAACAAGAAATAACCTCAAATCATGTATCAATCAATGTTCAAACTAGTAATGCCAAGGACATAGATCAGACTGAAATCACAGTTCCAACAGATTTAGAACTTCAAGAGGTACCAACAGTTCTACAAAAACCTCCCAGGGTAAAAACTGACATTAAGAAAGCTACTGCTCAATGGGTAAAAGAGCAGCCATTGTCAATCCAGAGTCTTCAAGAACTTCCTAGCTCCTGTGTGACAGCATTTACATCAGACTACTCACAATTAAAACTGCCTAATTCATGTCCACCTATTCGTGATGAATTGATTCACAAATCTTCATTTGGTTTAAGTGCAGACTGGAACAAAAGTCTACCCTCAATTTCCCATCATTTAGAGGCCTCATTATCCAGTTATTCTGATAAAGGACCAGCTTCCAATTCATCTAGCCAAAACAAAGTTCTTAAAGCTACAGATGATCATTCTGTAGACAAAGCAAATCTGAATAAAAGGCTCCTGCCAAAATTAACTATTACCATTCCTGATTCCATTTCAACAGATGCCACGGAATTAACTCTGAATGATTCCTTAGTTCCCATTCCAGTGACTCCAACAGTTAAAATTCAAAATTATACCTCAAAACGAAGTGCCCATTCACCATCCCTCCATAGACTTAACAGTGATGATTCCATAAGCTCAAATTCTTCAGATGAACCATTACTTAGTGACTCAATGACACAATCTGTGGACTGCTGGCATGACAACAATTCCAAGCAAACATGGCCGCTAAACGAGAAAGTGAAGTGCACAGGAAATGATGTAAACAGTGTGAATATTAGGTTGTTAAATGATAAAGAAACAGTGTTATAGCAATATTAACTATTAATAGTAATAGTCAAAATACTTGTTTTACTATCAATTTGAGCTATCTTTGTCTCTTTTCAGAATGTATATCTGATTCCCTGTTTGTCTTCAAAATACAGGCAATATTCAGAATCAGACATCCTGTTTGTCTGCAACTAAATAAGAAAAAGTTAAATCTACAATATTAAATTGTAGACACACCTGAACCCAAACATATGATTTTTTATTCTGAACAGTGATACAGATAGCTTAGATTAAGCTGGTAAAGCAACTATTTACATGACGTAAATGAAGTTATTAAGTTTTGTGTTTTTATATATACACCATTGTATCATGTTGTTCATAGAAAACATTCTACATCAACATTGTTGTTTCAATAACATGAAAGATTACTTTAAACACTTAAAGATGGGTTCCCTTATTATCATTAATGAAAATGTAAATGCTGATACTGATATGAATAGAAGGTAGAGGTGTTTTAATGACTTGGAAAAATACCAGTTTGTCTCACATGTCCATAATTAATTCATTATTAGCTGAATTAGAAGAGAAATACCAGCAAATTTCAATGAGTGACTGATCAAGAAAGGTCAAAAAGTCTTTTTTGTTTATCCAGACTGTACAAACATAGACATTTATGATTGGTTAAAACTCTCAATTATATGCAATAAGAAAATAATGATATGATTAAGAATATACATGATAATTCATTAGAAACACCAATTTATCAAATAGCTTGCTTAATTTTACACTAAAAAATAAGGAAACCCATCTTTAAAGGGATTGTACCATATATCTAGTCAACATACCCTAATATAATGCCATATGTAAAAGGGTTACAGTAACAATAAAGGGACAGAACCATACATTCATATTTCAATACAATATCTTCTAGAATTTCACAGAACACTAAAGGGGCTTTGCCAGATAGTTTTGTTTGTTCATCAATTCAATACCATATCTTAAACGATTACAAGTAATATTAAAGGGGCTGTACCAGATACTAATCTTCATGGATTACTCAGAACACCAAAGGGGCTGCTTCAGATATATATATACCTAAAGAAACACATTTCTCTGCTAGAAATTTCAACCAAAAAAGCCCTAAATTTTGGCTGAAAATTTACCTCTGTAAAAACAAATTTTTAAGATATAATGTGTGCTTATGCTTATATTTTTATCAACGCAAAGACAAGTTAAGATTCACAGTACTATTTTGAGGCTTCTATTCCAATTCTCTTAAAAATATAGAAAAAAATCTAAAATTTTTTATTTTGCTCAGACAATAAAAGTAAAGTTTCGCGTAATAATTGTCTTGGTAAGGGTTGCTAGTGAAGCAGTGCTATTCTCACCTACTGACGACACTATGCTACCTAGTTTATCAACTTGACCCTTGGTTCCCAACCTGGGGTGTTTACACCCCCTGGGGGTGTGGGACTAGGGTGTCATGGGTGTGACCAACTGATGTAGGAGAAGAATTTATTTTGAATTGAGAGAGCACCTCACATCATCACATGCTGAAAATGTGGATGAAACAAATTTTTGGGGATGTGAAAGGTCAAGGTGATTGCTATCAAAATATATCTGTATGGGCCTGGGGACTAATAAAACAAAATTTTTATTAAGCAATATATTTTATAACATTTAGCTGCGGCTTTTTCGAGAGAAAGACATTTTTTTCAATTAAAATGAGTTATTTATGGGCAATAGTTCTTCAAACACATCGAATTGTTCTAATTTTTCGGTAATTTTGAAAAACTTTTCAGAAGAGAATTCCAATGTTCCACCAGTTATATTTGATGATATCTTAAAAAAATAATCAAGGCTGAAAAAGGTTAAGAACCACTGGCCTAGACTAAATATTTTATATATCTAATTATATTTTGGGGTACTATTTTATTATATATTAGATTTATCTCTTGAGCTGAAAACTGATCAGATTTTAAGACTTTTGAAAGATCTATCCAATATCAATCATCAAGGAATATCATTATTGCCAGAGTTGGTGAAAGAGAATATAGGGGAGAAAGAGCTATATTATACTGTCAACAATTGTAAATTGGTTTAAATTCACATCCATCACTTGGACAGCTGGTATATTAACATATTAGTAATGCCAGACTTCGGAGACTGGGGTACAAATAGGGGGCTAACTGACTCAATGGAGGGAGGGGGAACAACTGTTCAGGCTGAATTCAAAATTTGGCCAGTTTGTGGAAGTGTAATATTGGCTAGCCTCACATAAGGAGCATCAAAGAGGGATCTCTGAAGAAAATTTTTGAAAAATGAATTCAATTGTTGCATTATGACAGATATTTTGGTCCAAAAACGTGGAATAAAGTGGGTGTGCAAAACAACTTTTCTGGGGGGCAATTGACCAACCCCCACCCCCTTATACCCCCACTGAGTAATGCCACCTTCAAATACACAGATATTACTTACAAATCCTTACTATTTCTTAAAATTACAGAGATCCTTATAATTTGCTCACTTTAATGAGCAATTTAAAAAATGGTTACAAGAAATTAGAACCTATAACAAAAACACAAGACAATATTATGGAATATAACACACTTCTTTAATAAGGTTAGGCACATTACATCTGATGACGACACGTGTATATTGTGTTGAAACGTTATGTGCCTAACCTTATTAAAGAAGTGTGTTATATTCCATAATATTGTCTTGTGTTTCTGTTATATGTGCTCCTCGCTTCTATATGTCGTTCAAATCTTATAAAAATTTCCTAGTTACTACAAATTTCATGGATTTAGTCCACATCTGTAATTTCAACCTCATTTGCTCAATGTTCTACTTACTAGGAAAAACACCAGTACTTACTTCGACAATTTCATTTTTACGTTTGATATCCTTTATCTCTCTGGATTTAATACAAGTATTTCAGAGCATCAACCTTCTAAACGGTTTCTATATGTTCAAGGTCAAAATGTTGAACACCAAGGTCATTCTTTCAAAATGTCTTGGATATCCTACAGAACAAAACTGCTTAAGTTTGTTGGTACATAAATGAATTGGTACACAAATCTCGGTCCTGGAAGGTTTCAAGATATGTGGGCTTGCACCTAACTGTTTTACGGGTCCGTGAAGTAAACAGGAGGGGTAGGGGGGAGTGTCAACTCAAGGCGGGAGGGGGGGGGGGGGGGGGGGGGCCTCCCCCTTTGGCCCCCCCCCTGTTCCTA